CGCTGGGACTACAGGCACACACCACCATGCCCAGCTAATTTTTGTATTTATTGCAGAGACGAGGTCTTCCCGCTTTGCCCAGGCTGGTCTTGAACTCCCAGGCTCAGGCCATCCTCTCGCCTCGGCCTCCCAAAGTGCTGGGATGACAGGCGATGAGCCACCGTGCCCAGCCTGTTTTTTTAAAAAACAGGTTCAAATATTTTAAAACATTAAACACTCAAAATACTTCTCAAAGAGCAGACTAAAGACAAAGCCTCCGTGAACCAAAGAGGTAACACTGACTCCTGCTCCATAACTCCCTCCTCCCTGCCACCCGCAGAGCTATACACTGCATATACCCTTAGTACCACTGTTCGGGTCACACTTTCACACAGCTCATTAACATTCAATGTAGCCAGGTACGGTGGCTCACACCTATAATCCCAGCACTTTGGAAGGCAGAGACAAGAGGGCTGCCTGAGTACAGGGGTCCGACACCTGCCTGGGCAATTTGGTAAGACCTTGCCTCTATAATAAATCAAAAAATTAGCTGGGCGTGGTAACGCATGCCTGTAGTTCCAGCTACTTAGAAGGCTGAGGTGGAAGGATAGCCTGAGCCCTGAGGGCCGAGGCTGCAGTGGCCAGGAGCAGGACACTGCACTCTAGCCTACATGACAGATGAGCCTCCTACTCAAAAATAAAACCAGAAAACATTCACTGTAGGAGAAAAGAAGATCTGATATCATTATTCACATTCCTATAAAATAAAGAAGGTAAGCTCTTAACCTAAAATAAATCAACCTCAATAGTGAACTCTAAGCCTTTTATAAGCATACCTGGCACGTGCAAATAATTAATTAGGTCAGCAACATCTGTTGACCATCTACTTATATACAGTAAACTCATGAGGGCTCCCAAGCACCCAGGGCCAACAACTATGGTGCAAGGCCAGATCTCTCACTGGAAAATGTTTTCCTTAATGACACAGGTCAGTAGATGATTAAGTACAAGACGACAAGTATAGGCAATAATCCTCTCAGGAGTTCACAGAAAACTAAGAGTTGGGAGTTCTAGTTGAGCCTTCAGTCACCAGCATGGAATGGGAGAAAGGCATGAAGGATGGGGAGCCCCTAGAACAAACATTGCACACTAGTGGTTAGTTTGACAAGAATATTATCCTAGTTTTTTTCCTAATGTAAACCCCAAAGGCAGCAGGGCCTATCTGGACCCCAGAAGCTCATCTTCCCCAATGTCTCACACCGAGATCTGACACTGAGAACAGCTGCCAATAAAACCAGTGTGGGCGAAGACCTGAAAGCAAGATGAAAAACACAGGGGTCAGCCAGCAAAATGGCAAAGCTAGAAGAAAGGTTCATCTAGAAGAGCAATTTGTGATAAGACTGCAGAAGTCAACTGGAGTTGAGCTGTAGAAGTCTTGGACGGCTAGGCTAGGTACCACAGTATTTATGGTGGATATCAGGAGAGCAGTTAAAGTCCATAAAAAGAGAAATGACATGACAAAACAACTCTCAAACTGCCCTCTAAAGAAAGCGTGCAGAACAATTCAATAACACAGAGAAAGGAAACACCAGAACTTCCATTTATATGACTGAACATACACAATCTCAAAAAATTTCTCTCATGCACCCTTTCTCAAAAGCCACTTCAAATGTGGTCCAGCAACTGAGCTCTCCAAGAAAGACAGTGACAGCAGGAGGAAGCAGACGCCACAGAGAACCAGGGTGGCGCCTTATGCCAGACACAGTGAACCTGCAAGGGCAGAGACATGCTGCATGGTTTTTTCCGGCCTGGACAGGATGCCCAGTGAACCCAAACCAACTTCTCTGCAGCTGGCTTACCACAACCATGAGTTTGCTGTTTTCCTGCTGACCGTATTCAGCCTGGATAAGCGGCTGGTGCTCGTTCATTCCACAAGAGTATGTGCTCTGGCTTGCTCCTGCCAGAGTACGAGCAGAAGCAGTTCAAGAGCAGCCCACACCCTCTGCCCATATTCTGGCTGCTGGCTTGCTTCACAGCCACCACTGAAGAGCCCCGCTTCCCAGAACCAGCCTGGGCCCTTGCTGAGCCAACTCCTCCAAGGGACTCCTGCAACCTCTCCGGAAGGTTAAAGCCGGCTGCCATGCAGCTCGTAGCCTCCCAGGATCCTTCACCCAGCAGCAAAAAGGTTGCCCTCGCCTCACCTAGCTGTGCTCACGCTTCCTATCTGCTTTCAAGATGAAAGACTATGTTGTTTAGGAATATGTCCATCAATGATAAAGCTACAAAGAAAAAGAAGAAATGAGGGGCAAAAAAGGCAGCAGAAGGCGAGGGGAGACAGCGGTGGGAGGATTCTAGGATACTGATAACATGTGCTTTCTTAATCTAGGGGTGGGTATGCAAGAACTCATTTTATGTTTATTATTCTGTAAACTTTACACATATGTTTTACATATTCTCTTCTGTACATTTAGGCCTCACAATTTAAAAAGCTTTTTAAAATGTCGTTGGCTTCAAACTCTAAAGTAGCCCATTTTTGTACACACACACACACACACACACACACACACACCCCTATCTGTACATCTGTCCATCCATCCATTTATTTGTATAGTTGCTCTTCTCTTCTCTATTCCAACTGCCACTTCCTAAGAGTAACAATTCTAATCCAACGAGGTCAGATTCCTCACTATAAGATTACTTAGGAATTATACACCACTATTTAATTTCAACTACAAATTTTACATGTATCTGTGTGATGAATTCATTATTAGCTTTATCTCTTTCTGAAAGGTAACCCTCATGAAGGGCTGTGTCTTTATATCTTCAGCATGGGCACAATGCCTGGCACATAGTAGACTTAGTAAGGAATGCAAAATGAACAAATGAATACCACTACTACCTTAGGTCAGTGACCAATGGTCTTTTGCTTAGACCCCTGAAATAGGCTCTCAACTGGCACCCCGGTGTTCAGTCTTGCCCTACTCAGACCCACTCTCCACGCAGCTACCAGGAGGTATGTCCCAGGAGGAAATCTAAACGTTCTGCTCCCTACTCCATGGACCTGCTGCCACTAGAGCTGATCCATGCTCCTCACCACAGCAGACAGAGCCTTCCTCACTGGCCTCACTATGCTTCCCTCCAAGCCTTAAATTCCTTCACAGCCTCAGACACCAGCCCATTACTTATCGCTACCCCATCCCTTTGATCTGAAATGCCCTAGCTGATTTCAGTCATTCAACAAATCTCATCTCCAGTTAAACTTTACCAGGAGGCCTCACCTGACCGGCTCACCGGGATTAGAAACTCCTCCTCTATGCACCAGACAACCTGCATGTATGTCTTTTGCTACATTTAAAAAACTGGCCAAGCATTATGTTTATATGTATTTCATAATAGTTTCTAAGTTTATTGAGTGTAAACTGGATTTTTTAACTCATTTTTTAATCCACACCACATAATTAATTACTAAATGCTTGTCATATGAATACATGGATATACAGAGTTGAACACTGAGTTACTTTTCAAAATCACTACTAAAATTCCAAGAGCGCCTTTTACACTCTTGCCCGTCATGTGACTTATATACCTGAATTCTCTGTAGATATTATTAAAGGCAAGTGATGCTCCTAGCCTCTTGAAAGCATTAGGGTGCAGTGCAAGGCTGTACAGTCTCTTGAAAAGAGATTTGGTGTTTACTGGACTCTTTTTCTGCTGCTGTGGTGTTGTTTGCTTAATGGACCATTTGAGGAATTCTCGAATACATCGACCACAAAAATCTCTCAAAGTACTGTCAACAGGGTCCACAATCCCATCCTGAAACAAAACAAAGAGGCCTTTATTGTACTCATTTTTATAACCATAAAATGACAACGAAATACCTTTGGTCTGCCTCTGAACAGCACTAATGTTACAAAAATTAATTTATAGCACTAGTCAAGAAAAAATAAACACTAGTAAACTTAATCAGATTATCAATTTCCTTTTGACAAAACAGAAACATTTTCTTTTAAATAAACTAGTAAACTGAAAAATCCATGAGAAGAGGAGAGGATACTTTAATTATAACAACAAAACAATCTTCCCCTTCCCTGAAAAAACACAATGGCTATTTTATAAGAATTCCAGTGGTTGCTGATTTTACCCCATAAAAGCATCTGAGATGCTCTGTATATTAAGATTAAAGAGATAAGACCCTTGGAAGTTCTGAGAAAATTATACCGCTGCACTGAAAAAAAACATATGGAGGCATGGTTCTGAAAATATAACTTTCTGGAAGACCAGTATTCATAAAGCCACAGTGTCTAATAACTAGAGAAAACTGCAAAGGAAATTTGACCAATGATAACCTAGAAAATCATCCTATTTAATAATCATGCTTCCCTGTAGGTATTATTCCCTAGTGGGAAAAAAGCAGGGCTTGTACCCTTAGGGAACTGGCAACTCTTCACAAGAAACCTACAGCCTCCTTCATGTGAGTGCTGGGCTACGAAGTTCATGTTTCTTCTTCAACTTTTCTTTCCTCAACTATCTTCCTTTTACTTTATCACGTTACCAGACTTCCTTATGAAGTGCTCACGTAAGCTACCTTCAAGGATCAACTGGGAGAAATCAAACAACTAAGACAAACTTCAGAATAGAAGCATTAGAATAAATCCATCTGAACACAAATAATTAAATTTAATTAACTGTATTTATTATGGGCAGGATCCACTGTAAACACCACAGGGAATTCAACTATAGAGGTAATTATGTCATCATCATCTTAATTTAAAATATTCAGTCACTCTCCACTGTTCATAACATGGCATACAACTAGGGTCACTCTGAGAGTAAAAGGAGCACTATTAGTAATTACACTGCCGGCCGGGCTCCGTGACTCATCCTGTAATTCCAGCACTTTGGGAGGCCGAGGCGAGAAGACTGCCTGAGCCTGTGGGTTCAAGACCAGCCCAGGCAACTTGGTGAGGACTCATCTCTACAATAAATAAAAAATTAGCTGGGCATGGTAGTATGCGCCTAGAGTTCTGGCCACTTGAAAGTCTGAGGCAGAAGGATTGCCAGCGCCCAGCAGTTCCACGCTGGGGTAGCAGTGAGTGTGTACCACTGCACTCCAGCCTGGGCGACGGAGTAAGACTCCAACTCAAAAAATAAAGCTTAAAAATAAAAAAAAAAAAACTACACCGTCCAAAGCTGGGCATGGTAGCTTAGGCCTATAATCCCAGCACTCTGGGAGGCTGAGGGCAGAGGACTGCATGAGCCTAGAGGTTCGAGACCCGCCTGGGCAACTTGGCGAGACCTTATCTCTACAATAAATAAAAACATTAGCCAGACATGGTGGCGTGCACCTGTAGCTCCAGCTATGTGGAAGGCTGAGGCGGAAGGATCGCCCGAGCCCAGCAGTTCGAGGCTGCAGTGGCCACGAGCAGGCCACTGTACTCCAGCTGGGCAACAGAGCGAGGCTCCCACTCAAAATAATCGTAATAGCAACACCACCACCACTGGCCACCAGTCGCCCTACACACTAGCACCTGTCACCGACCCAGTCTCGCCTCTGCCATGCTTCCGTATAGCCGAAACGCAAACATGCCCACCTCCTCACGAACACAACACGTACCCATGCCTTCATTTTCTTCTCTGAAGGCTGCTGCCTACCTCCCTCTTTTCTCTGGCTCACCTCAAACTCAGCAGGTGACACACAGTTGCAAACTGGCAGTGACTTGCAAAAATGCGGAATTAAAGGACGCCGGCTGGTACAATGTGCTACGCGGTTAACTAGGACTTTTGAGTCCAACATGGATACATGGCAGAATGAGAGGCTGCAATAGTGGGTAAAACCAACTAAGATGACATGCAAAGAAGTCAAATGTAAAATTATTTGCACAAGTTCAAACATTACCCAAAAAAAGCATCATAAGGTATTATGGTTTAGCTGATCTCATTGCCTCTGCCCTCACTGAACCAGTGACCAAACCCTAATGATTTTACTCTTTTTTCCTCAGGCCAGCTCTACGCCGGTGAGATGCTGTGCCTAAGGGCTCTTTCTTTACTGAATCTGAACACAGGATAAAACTGGACAAGCTCAAAAATTCCTTTTATTCTTAAATATTTAAATTTTGTGCTGTTTTTTTTGAGTTGGAGTCTCACTCTGTTGCCCAGGCTGGAGGGCAGTGGCACGCTCCCGGCCACCGCAGCCTCGACCTCCTGGGCTCTGGTGATCCTCTCACCTCAGCCTTCCAAGTAGGTGGAAATACAGGCACGCGCTACCACGCCTGGCTAATTTTTTTTATTTATTGTAGAGATGAGGTCTCGCCAAGTTGCCCAGGCGGGTCTCGAACCCGCGGGCTCAGGCCATTCACTCACCTCAGCCTTCCAAAATGCTGGGATTACAGGCTGAGCCACCGAGCCCAGCCTGTGCTTTTTTTAAAGAGCTATGGTAACTCAGATAAAGTCTAAGAACATTCTTACTCCTTGTACCCTCAAACACACACACTCTCTCTCACACACACACACGCCATTAACATAGATGAAACCTCTCAAATTTATAAACATCCTCCCAAAAAACAGAACAAAAAAAAGTGACCTAATATTTAGTCATAAATATTTAATATTATCACAAGTAAATAAACATGGTATTTTGTCTATTATAATAGCATTTCACAAATAAAACAACAACAAATGATCCAGTTTGATGCTACATTTTAGTATCTTGACAGATAACTTTTCTTAAAATTCTAAATTACATCAAATACAACCAATCAATGGTAACAGGAGAAAAAGAATCAACTATTACTTACCAGTATAGTTTCTAGTAAGGCAACAGTATCTTGACTTTCAAATTTCTTATTGTTAGTGAACCAGTGAATCAGCTGCATAACTAGTGGTTCGTATAGCTGCCTTGTCACCTGAAAAAAACAATACCCTTAGAATGTATTCTATTCATGTTAAAGTAATTTTACATTGGAAAGAATTTCATTTAAATGACATTTGTGTGGGCCAAAATTAAACAATAATTTTACTATGGTTTTATTAGTTTCCCTAGTTTAATTCTATGATGAAGAGTCCAGCAAAGAAAAATATACAGACTAAAGCTTATCATTTCTCTAATTTGGAGGGTAACTGAAGGTTTTTAATATTCATCTTTATTAACTTGTTCTTTAATATGCACACAAGATATTTTGGATTAGAGACATATTATCACCACTCAAATACAAAGCAAATAATAACCCTGTGGTTCTCCATGCCCCAACTGCCACCCTTGTGATGGCAAAACAAAAGACCCACACACAAAACAAAGCCTATTCCACAGTGGTGGAACAAAGAAGATGGAGTTGAGCTGTTTATATACAAGAGAAAGAAGCAGCTGTCTTTCCCACTGTTACCAAAAGGAAGAAGAAAAACAATGTTTACTCTGTGGGCACGGGATGAAAAAGATCTGGATTCTCACTCTGGATTCTCACTCTAATCTTCTGCAACATAAATAAAACCTCCCTAGGTCTCAAACAGACTGTGCTTTCTGGCTTTGTAAAGTCCAAGATACCTCCTGGGCCTGGGCTCCTCCTGGCTCCTTCCTTCCCTGACCCTTCCCTTCCAACATGTAAATACATCTTTCTAGAATCTGCAGAGCACGAACTATTGGCCTGGTTGGGGCAACCATTTGGCCACCATGGGGTGACATGAGAAGTGGACCAGGGCAACTGGCTAGATAAACGGTGGCAGAGCTAATGTTCCTTCAACATGAAGAATAAAATGCCTGTAGAGGATGGGAAGGTGAATAGTTCCTATCTTTATAATCCACACATTTGAGTTTCAGAGGATAGAGCTCTTATAGGAGCACTAAACATTCAGAGAAGCTTTAGTCCCCACAGATATCGAGCTCAAGAATGAGTACTTTGACATTAGACATATATACTTTGGTTAAAATCATCTCAAAAACCATGTAAAATGTCTTGGGGCTCAGACTAAACAACATAGATACTCTTCAAAAGAATCTAACCTTAAAAGCAATTTTTTTCCTACTACCTTCACTTGGCTTTATGAAGCAACTTTTAAGATTAAGCAATATAAAAGGGTCTTACCTTTCAGTTTGGAAGTTTAACCTGGTCTTAAGAGCATCACTTTTTCCCCCCAAAAGAATCATACTGTTTTATTCTTAGTACATAAGTTTTTAAATATATGTATACATAGCATTATATATACATACTTATACCCACTTCTTATAGAAAATGCAGAAAACCATCCATCTACAATCCTACAATCCAAAGGTATCTACAACTTTTAAAATATTTATTTACATTTAAAATATGTGTAAAAAGTTGGGTGTAGTGGCTTACACCTATAATCCCAGTACTTTGGGAAGTGGAGGTGAGAGAGTTGCCTGAGCCCAGGGGTTCAAGATCAGCCTGAGCAACTTGGCAAGACCTCGTCTCTATAATAAATCAAAAAATTAGCTGGGTGTGGTGGTGTATGCCTGTGGCTTCAGCTACTCAGAAGGCTGAGGGGGAAGGGATTGCCTGAGTCCAGCAGCTCGAGGCTGCGGTGGCCATGAGCATGCCACAGCACTCCAGTCTGGGCGACGAGGGAGACTCCAATCCCCAACCAAAAAAAGTGGAAAACTAAAATTTTGTAACCATTTCCCCCTAGTTTTGAATACTTTCCACATAAGTACATAAAATAAACCAATGTTTTTATTAGCTGCCCAGTACCTCACAGACAGACAGACATACCATGCGTCAGCTACCCAAAGTCTACTGCTAGAAATTCAGGTATTTCTAATGTATGACTATCAGAAAGAAACCACAGAGCAGCGTCCTGAGCAGCTCCCTCGTTAGGCAGTTGTGGGGCCAGCTGTGAGGTCATCAGCCCTGTGCCCTGCTGCAGAGCACCATGCCCGAGTCACCCCACCAGCCATGCCGTACAGGGCCCTGTCCCTATGCCCTCAGATACACCAAGCACATTTACATACTGACAGAAGCAACAAATGACATATTAATAGTTTTCATATGAATTTCCTTGTTTGTTAAAAGGCTGAACATTTTATGATGCATTTCATTGGTCACCTATATGTCTTCTTTTATGAGATGCCTCTTTTAGCCCTTTATCCATTTGCCCATTTGTTTATTTTTTATTTTTTATTTTTTTTGAGTTGGAGTCTCACTCTGTCGCCCAGATTGGAGTGCGGTGGCCACTCCCGGCCACGCAGCCTCGACCTGCTGGGCTCCGGCGATCCCTCCGCCTCAGACTTCCGAGTAGCCAGAATTACAGGCACGCGCTACCGCGTCCAGCTGATTTTTTGATTTATTGTAGAGATGAGGTCTCGCTGCCCAGGTGGGTCTCGAACCCGCGGGCTCAGGCAATCCACTCACCTCAGCTTCCCAAAGGCGCACGATTACAGGCTGAGCCACCGAGCCTGGCTCCATTTGTTTATTTTTATTTTAAAGCTGTGGGGTACAATTCAGGATTAGGTATGCAAGTGTTCATCGTACAGGTAAAGTTTGGTCCCTACTTTGCCTGGTTTGAGATTGGGTACCATTACGGATGTTGTGTCTCCACACTCATACCACACCCACCCCCACTTCCACCCCAGCAGTATCCTGCTACTGCCAATCCCCCTTTTTTTTTGAGTTGGAGTCTCACTCTGTCGCCCAGACTACAGTGCAGTGGCCGCTCTCGGCCACCGCAGCCTCGACCTGCTGGGCTCCAGGAATCCTTCCACCTCAGCCTTCCAAGTAGCTGGAACTATAGGCGAGTGCTACCACGCTCGGCTAATTTTTTTTTAGTTAGAGATGAGGTCTCGCCAAGTTACCCAGGTGGGTCTCGAACCCGCGGGCTCAAGCAATTCACTCACCTCAGCCTCCCAAGGCGCAGGATTACAGGCTGAGCCACCGAGTCCGGCTCAAACCCTTTCTTATAATATTATGAGAAATGTTCATGGTCCACTTATGAGTGAGAACATGTGGTACTCTGTTGTTTCTGTGACAGATCACAGAGTATGACAGACTCTAAATCTACTCAAGTTGCTGTGAAGTCCATGTTTGTCCTTTATGGCTGTGTACTATTCCATTGTGTATATGTACCACATTTTTTTTTTTTATGTAGTACCGTTTCGATGGGCAGCATGGTTGGTTCCATGTTTTTGCTATTGGGAATAGTCTGCAATAAATATGCCTGTGCAGGTATCTTTTTTGTAGAATGATTTGAGTTCCTCCGGGTATATTCCCAGTAGTGGGATTGCTGGAAGGTCAATGTCTAGTTCTTTCAGAAATCACCACACTGTTTTCCAAAGAGATTGCACTAGTTTGCATTCCCACCAGCAGTATAAGAAGCGTTCCTTTTCTCCACATCCTCGTCAGCATCTGTTGTTTGTTTTATTAATGACGGCCATTCTTACTGGGGTTAGGTGGCATCTCAATGTGGTTTTGATTTGCATTTCTCTGATGATTAGTGAGGATGAGCACTTTTTCATGTGTCTAGTGACTGCCCATATCTCTTCTTTTGAGAAGTGCCTACTCATGTTTTTTGCCCACTTTTTATTAGAGCTATTTGTTCTTTTCCTTTGTCACATTTGATTTCCTCGTAGAACCTGGATGTTAGGCCTTTGCCAGATATACAGTTGGCAAATATTTTTTCTCTTTCTGTAGGCTGTCTTCCCAATCTCTTGATAGTTCTTTGGCTTTGCAGAAGCTTCTCAGTTTGATGAGGTCCCACTTGTCTATCTTATCTCTTATGGCATGGGTACTTGGGGTTTTGATCAGGAATTGGTTGCCAGTTCCAACTTCCATAAGGGTGTCTCTTGCATTTTCTAAGGTTCTTATAGTTTGAAGTTTTACGTTTAGGTCTTGCATCCATTTAAAGTTGATTTTTGTGTATAGTGATAGGTAGAATTTGCCCATTTTAAAGTCTTATTTCTTTGGTAGCATATTACAAACTTTTCCTCACATTATTTATGTTGCAATGTGGGCATTGTGTCTTTCAATAGTATTAAACATTTATAAAGTCAAAACTATCAGTCCATTAACACTTTTCCTTTGTGTGTCTGCCATGGCTATTCTGTAGTAAAAGACTCCCTTTCTGTGCAAACTTTATGGAAAGACATGGTAGGATGCTGATGATGTAATGGTTACAAGATGCATCCAAGCGGCAGAATCTCACTTTGCACACAAAAGAAATCATTTTTGAATGTCATGATTTTAGTTTTGGTAAATAAGATACATATATGCATGTTTGTCAAAGTATGTTATTACCAAGATCTGGAAGATTATTCAGCAGACTTAATTCCAGAGGATAAAACAGCTCTTCATGGGGAGTAAGCACGAGAAAAGGGTGATATGAAAGTTCACTTTTAGCTTCATATGTTTTTATATTAACTGATGTGTTATCAATGAAAAAGGCCTAAAGATATACACACAGACAGATATACTATGCAATCATTAAATTTTACTGGAGGCCGGGCTTGGTGGCTCAGCCTGCAATTCCAGCATTTTGGGAAGCCGAGGTGAGTGGACTGCCTGAGCCCATGGGTTCGAGACCAGCCTGGGCAACTTGACGAGACCTCATCTCTACAATAAATAAAAAAAAAATTAGCCAGGCATGGTAGCACGCACCTGTATTTCTGGCTACTTGGAAGGCTGAGGCGGAAGGATCGCCTGAGCCCAGGAGGTCGACACTGGGGTGGTCGTGAGTGTGCCATGGCACTCCAGCCTGGGCAACAGAGTGAGACTCCAACTTAAATAAAAAATTTTTACTGGAATTCATTTATAGCTTGTTTCCCCTTCTCTTTTGGATTTGGAATTAGTTTTTTCATATGTGACAAAGACTCTCTTTCTTGACCTAACTCTAGTCAGGTTAGTCTAGTGAGTGACTCTAGTCACTAACCTAATGTCATTTATTAAATGATCTATTTCCCACTTACTTAAAATGCTCCTTCGAGACCCGCCTAGGCAGCGAGACCTCATCTCTACAATAAATCAAAAAATCAGCCGGGCATGGTAGTGCATGCCTATAATTCTGGCTACTTGGAAG